CTAAGTTAGGGCTGAGGATATAGCTCAGTGGTAAAGTTTATGAGGCCATGAGTTAAATCCTTAGCACTGCAAAAGGAAAAAAAAAATTCTGTTTAACCTTTCTCAAGTTATATTTGTATAGGTAAAAGTTAATTTAAGGACTTCAGAAATTGGGTGAAGTCCCTAGTAATTTGTCAATGCCCATTATATGTCTTCATATAATGTTAGCAGTCACACATTCATAATTATAATCATTATTTAAAAAGTTGGGGGGGGGGTCACAAAAACAATTTTGCATTATTTTGTAAAGAACTCTTATTAAACCTTTAATCACCTCATGTTCAGTCTTTAATCATCACAAATAGCTGTTTTACTCTGATGCTTTCTTAAAAGCTCTTGCAATCAATTACAGGCCAAAGTGCTTCGTCTCCAATACCACAGAAAGGCCTCTGAAGGCAACTCTGAGGCACAGGCTTCTGATGGTATCACTTTGAGACCATGCCACTGGGCTGGGACAGGGTCTCCAGAATTCCAGCTGAGAATCTCATGGGGTCATGATACTTGGGGTCAAAACAAAAATTAGGTATAGGGACTGGAGGTGTAGCTCTGCAGAAAAGTGCATGATTAGCATGCATGAGGCTGTGAATCTTCACCATCAGCAAACACACACACACACACACACACACACACACACACAGCCTTTCTCTGGGATGGGGGCTTAGCTCAGTGGTAGAGCACTTGTCTAGCATGCTCAAGGATCTGAGTTCAATCCCCAGCACAGGAAAAAAAAAAAGTGCTTTCATTATCTTTGCTCAAAAAGAGGTTATTTTTTGTTCAACATCTCTAATAATTAAAGAAATGCAAATCAAACCTATTCTAAGATTTCCTCTCACACCAGTCAGAATGGCAGTTATCAAGAATACAAACAACAATAAATGTTGACAAGGATGTGGGGGAAAAGGCACACTCATATATTACTGGTGGGACTGCAAATTGGTGCAACCAATCTGGAAAGTAGTATGGAGATTCCATAGAAAACTTGGAATGGGACCACTATTTGACCCAGCTACCCCACTCCTCAGTCTATACCCAAAGGACTTAAAATCAGTATACTATAATAATGCAGCCACATCAATGTTTACAGCAGCTCAATTCACAATAGCTAAACTATAGAACCAACCTAGATGCCTTTCAATAAATGAATGGACAAAGAAAGAGTGGAATATTACTTAGCATTAAAAGAGAATAAAATTATGGCATTTGCAGGTAAATGGATAGAGTTGGAGAATATCATGCTAAGCGAAGTAAGCCAATCCCAAAAAACCAAAGGTAGCATCTGATAAGTGGATGCTGATCCATAATTGTGGGGGGTGGGGGAGAAATGGAGGAACTGTGATTTGGCAAAGGGGAGAGGGCATGAGAGCAGGAAAGATGACAGAATGAGTTGGACATCATTACCCTAGGTACATATGGTGTGACACTTCATCATGTACAACCGGAGAAATAAAAATTTGTGTTGCAATTATGTACAATGAATCAAAATGCATTCTGCTGTCATATATACTTAATTAAAATAAATTAATTAATTAAAAATTTTTAAAAAGAGGTTATTCTTAAGTTGGTTTACCAGGGATTGAACTCAGGGGTACTCAAACACTGAGACATCTCCCCAACCCTACTTTGTATTTTATTTAGAGACAGGGTCTTTTTTTTTTTTTTTTAAGAGAGAGAGAGAGAATTTTTTAATATTTATTTTTCAGTTTTCGGTGGACACAACATCTTTATTTTATTTTTATGTGGTGCTGAGGATCGAACCCAGCGCCCGTGCATGCCAGGCGGGCATGTTACCACTTGAGCCACATCCCTAGCCCCAAGAGACAGGGTCTGATGAGTTGCCTAGTGCCTCGCTGTTACTGAGAATGGCTTTGAACTTGTGATCTTCCTGCTTCAGCCTCTCAAGCCACTGGGATTGCGGGTGTGGGCCACTGCGCCCAGCTATTTTTATGTTTTGATGGAGAAGTATAATATACCTTTATGGATTATTAGATTCTGTTTTTTTTTATGATCTACCTATAAATTGGGTTGGACCTTGATTTCTTATTCATTTTGCCAGCCCTTAAATACTCAGATATGCCACAGTCTGGCTGGGCACAAATAACCGAACCGCCACAAAGCCTTGTAGATTCAAACAGCAACTCTTTATTCCCCAACTCTCACTAGCACTGCACACACCACACAGGAACGCACTCCCTCCACCAGGCTCCGTCCAATCTCTCCCAACCCCCACGAGAACTGCCAGGGAACTCCAAAGTAGTGGGTGATCGAGGCAGATTCCCAGAGCCGCCAATTCCCAGAGCAGGGTCCATATACAACTCAATCAATCCAGCATCACAGCAATTATATACAGCTTAACTCAAATCATCATCTCAATGGTTTGCTGGCTTCACCTTTCAACCATGCCCTCTGGCAATATGCCAGGCCTCATTCTGTCTTGGCTGTGGTTCTCAACACAGATACACTTTCCTTCAATATTTGGCTATAGAGCAAAATGTTGTTTTCGATTTTTCTTCTTCCATTCTGACTTGGTGTCACTGAGAACAAAACCTGACAGTCTGAATCTTTACTGGGACTGGAGCTGGCTGTCCTACCCTATCAGAATCTGAAAAAGCACTGCAGGCTAAAGCCAGACAATTTGATATAGACTACAAAGAACTCATCCCACACTAAATAGTCTATGTGCAACCATCATGCCTACAGCTGCTGCCACCTGAGCCACGAAGTCCTCTCCAACTCCTACAAGTTTCATACTCTGCTCCAAAAAATAACTACAATGCTGACATTGATGTCTATGCCTTCACCACACACATTCGGACTTCAAAATCTGGGCAATCCATGAAGTTGCTACTGCTGTCCACATTCTACTACTTAAAAGAAAGTTAAGAGGCACTGGAGTTGTGACTCAGCGGTACAGCACTTGCCTAGCATGTGAGGCACTGTGTTCAATTCTCAGCACTGTATATAAATAAATTAATTAAATAAAGGTCCATCAAACAAGTAAAAAAAAATTTTTTTTAAAGATACTTAAGAGTCAGACACCCAGAAATTACTGCCCGCTAGTCTCAAAAACTGGGATTAGGCACACACCTGTAATCCCAGCAATTTAGGAGGCTAAGGCAGAAGAATGGTAAGTTCAAAGCCAGACTCAGCAACCCAATGAGGCCCTAAATAACTTAGTGAGACATTGTCTCAAAATAAAAAAAATAAAATAAAACAGGGCTGGGGATGTGGCTCAGTGGTTAAGCGCCCTTCAGTTCAATTCCTGATTACCCCCCCAAAAAAAAATAGCTGGGTTTAGAGGTCAACTCCAACCATTAACCTTTATTTTCCTATTTTCACAGAAATGCCTCTCATTAAATACCTGATCACTTACACCATACAGCAAATATCTTCATCCTAGTTCAGCTAGTCCTTCACAAACAAAAGGCTATGGAACAGAAAATGGACTTCTATTATTAGGGAAGAAGAATGTCTCTTGAACAAGAACACTGACAAGATCCTCTCTGTCCAGGGATGGGGATGTGGCTCAAGCGGTAGCGTGCTCGCCTGGCATGCGTGCGGCCCGGGTTCAATCCTCAACACCACATACAAACAAAGATGTGTGTCCACCAATAACTAAAAAATAAATATTAAAAAAATCTCTCTCTCTCTCTCTCTCTCTCTCTCTCTCTCTCTCTCTCTCTCTCTCTCTCCTCTCTCTTGGAAAAAAAAAAAAAAAAAAGATCCTCTCTGTCCAAACTCCAACCATTAAGGCTCCTTCTAAATACTAAGTTTCTAATAGCTCATGACTGCATCCCCAGGATAGCCCTAACCCCCTCAAAATGCCTAAGAAAATTCAAGAATGCAGCAAAATTCAAGGGCCCTGCAGCAAACCCATTTGGCCTTCCCAGGAACCCACCCTCCTTCCCTGATTTTTGTAAATGCTTACTTCCTTGACCCTACTGCACTCTTTATTCCCCCATACCCCTGTGAAACACTCAGTCACCTCTGCACAAATCAGAATGGAGCTCAACTCTTTCTCCTGCTATTACTAGTTCCTGAGTAAAATTTGTTTTTGCCACATCAACTAGTGTCGAGTTGTATTTCTCTGTGATATGCTGTCCTCCTCATTGACCCTTGCAGGGTCCCCCAGAGTCCCTCCAGGAAGCAGCAAGTACTGAGGCATGGAGAACCATGTTTAACAAATGCAGTAGGGCACCAAAATCTCTGGCTGGAAAAATCTGAAATGCTGATCTGCTAGCAAGGCAGGTGTGGCGAGCCTCCTGCAATAACACACAACTCAGCCTTGGGGGGTCCTGGACTCTGATGGGTCCCCCTTCCAGGTCAGGAAGCCACTCACTTGCATGGAAAGGCCATTTAGTGGAGGGTTCCCCAAGGACTCCAAGGGGGAACCTATTGAGAAGCTCATTGTACTCTTCCTGGGTCCCTAAAACTCTCTGATCTGAGAGTCTGATCCTTATCTAAGGACCAAGTGGGATCCTCCAATGGGTAGGGTCCTGGGTTTGCCACATCCTCACCAAGTGAAGCCATGCTCCTGGGATAGGCCTACCCTTTCAGTCTGTAAGTCTTGATCCCCACCCGTGGTAGAAGAACAGATTTCCTACCCCTGTCTGGAGGCCAACTCCAGCACAGATATTCAAATAACCACCTCCCCACTACACACACACACACACACACACACACACACACACACACAGAGTCTGGTGCCCAGACCCTGTCCAGAGACCTTCACAGAACCCCTAACGGCTATCCAAATTCCTCATCCTTCCAAAACTCCCCACTTTAAATACATCTTCCAACCCAGGTACGCAGACCCAGGCCCAAGGGCAGATTCCTACACTCTGGCCCAAATTCCCCAGCTCAGGTTGGAATCACCAACCCAGGTCCAGAGACTCTCCAACCTCTTCACCGCCGGCCAAATACCCCACCCATAAGCCCATCCCTTGGCTCACCAGCTTACTCACCTCGCTCAAGACCGCGCTCCCTGGACTGCCGGCGCGCTGGGCGCAGGCAGCGCGGAGGGCAGCCCCGGCAACTGAGAGGTCCCGACACGATGGCTGCGATGGCGGCGGTTCTGCGGGGCCCGGGCCGGCGCTTCCGGTGGCGGACGCAGGCCTTAGCGGGAGGGGTGCGGGGTGCGGCTCGGGGCGTGGCAGGTAGGGTGGGCGACCTAGGGAGCGACCGAATCCCTGCGGCTGGGGGCGGGGGTGCCCACGTGGGGGTGTCCGAGTGGCCTGGTACGCGGTGTAGTGCGTAGGTGTCGACGTGGGGGGTGTCCTTGTGGGGGCGGGCGTGCCCATGCTGACCATGGATAGGGCATGTATCCATAGGAAAGTACTCCCGGGTTGGAGGACGGGGTATCCGTACCGAGATTGTTCAGTGGGGGTGTTGGCGCACGACTGGGAGTACCACAGAACAGAAGTCAGACCTGCTTCTAGCCAGGTAGCCTCCTCAGATGGGGAAACAGGTTGGTGGGCTTGCGGAGATCATCCAGTACTGGCTGCCCCTGCTACCTCCAGAAGCTGTCTCTCCCCACCCCCACTCGCCGCCACTCCAGCTCAAAATTAACTGTAGTTCTGACTAGGATGATGTCCCCTTCTTGGGGTCATCTGCCACTCCACAGGCCACACTATGAGCACCTCCTCAGCTATAGTAGGGAATGAATGAGGGGAAGCTAAGACCAATGGGTTCTGGGGACCCAATGGGAATCTGTGTTAGGGAAGGACTGAGCCTCATTGACCAAATTAGGACAATAATCATTAACTTTAAATGGCCAGAAGTCTGGATCTTTATTAGGACTCAAGTTATCTTGCAGCTGTCCTGCCCCATCCAAGCTGAAAAAGCACTGAAGGCTAAAGTCAGACAATTTGGTATAGACTTTAAAGAACTCATCACCACACTAAATAATCTGTGTGCAGAGGATGGGCAAGTCACTCAGAACAGTTCACACTGCACCCTACAGAACTGGCAACAGTGCCACCACATCTGGGATGGTGAGGCCAGTCCCATGCATGAACCTGCACAGTAACCACCCCACCACCATTGCCCCAGAGCTATTCCCTGGACTCTAGTGACAGAGCTCAACTCCCCCCCCCATGGAAGTGAGTATGGAGGGCTGTGAGTAAGGACACACCATGGCATCTTCACAAAAATGGCTGCCTGGGAAACAGAGTGGCTGGCACTCAGCCAGTAGTTGATTCAGGAGGGATTGCTGCTGACTGCATATATGAATGGGCAGAGCTGTTAATGTTGGAACCTTGGGATGCCTTGGAGCTGAAGGTGGCCCTACAGAGCCCCAGGAGGTAGTCACCACATCCTGAGGTGAAAACCTAGAGGAACCTAAGTCTGCTCTTATGGGTTACCTTTGCTAACCCTGAGACTTTGGAAAGGGCTATCTTTTGGAGCCTTCTTATTGCATATGTCAGATAGGAACATTCATATGGATTAAATGCACCCATATCAGTGAAGCTATTACCCTATTTAGTGGCATTAAAAGATCCATTAGCGCATTAACAGGAGCAGTGCTTGTGGTCACACATCCAGGGCCTTCAGGCTGGTGGGTAACTGTGGTTTTGGGGCCAGGCATTTCATTTTTAGCTGGGCAAGAGGCACTGCTGCCCTGAGGATTCTGTTCTGGAACCCAGGGAGTGCTGGCAGTAAGTGGAAGACCCCAGGACCTTCTGGAGTCATAATCTAGGCCCTGGAGAAAGTGCCAACTCCCTTAACGATGATTCCAGAGTCCAATTTTGAGTCTCCTCCATTTCAGCCTGACAGCTTCTCCTTTCAGAGAAGAAACATCTTCCCTTTTGAGTTATATCAGCTATTATAACTGATATAACTCCTGAATGGGAACTAGAATGACAGCACTGCTGGAGTCATCTGTCACCCTAACACCTGCTAACAGAAAAGAGCTTGAAGCAAGAAGAATAGTTTTACAGGAATCTCCTCCTGGAGATGACTCCCTTAGGGGTGGCCAGCCCACCTTCAGGTACACAACCATTTTGCAGGTCTTCTTACCCTTGTTAGAACTTTGCACCACTCATTTGGTCTTTGCCATACTCACTGGGCTCCTGTTCTTTGCTGGCCCTGTACCAGGCATTGGATCCAGAAAGGGTCAGAAAAATTAAAGAATAATATGGTAAGAAGGTAGAGATGAGGCAAAGACAGGTTCTGGTGCCAAGCCCTGTGGGTAGGGAGGTTGTGACCCGCTCAAGTGGATGAAGGCCAGGATGTTAGTTTTCCCATCAAGTAATACCTGCTGTGCCCAGTCCCACCTCATCCACCTTTGGAGTGCTTGCTCTCAACAGGCTACTCAGAGCCTCCCAAATACTTGGAGATATCTTGCACTTGCAAACTGCTCTACTGCAGGACCTTTTTCCAAGTATTAATCAGGCTGAGAGTACTCCTAGGTATGCAGAGGGAGATAGCAAAGGGCCCAAGATAAGTCCACATTTCACAAGCAGCCAGTCCTGTTTGCTGGCTGATAGCAGGCAGGCAGAGGGCAGGCAGAGGGCTTTGGGGCAGGACAACTCTGGACAACCCGCTCTGGTTACAGGAAGGACAAGTATTTGCAATGGAAGGTAGGACTCTCCAGGACGAAGCCTTGCTTCTCCCACCCTCAATCCCTTGAGCCTCTGCCCTGCTCCCACCCCATCCCTAGTAGCAGGAGAGGAGAGAGGCCCTGACCCATATTTTTGTGATTCCTAGAGCTCTGTGGCAGTCTTCCCTTCTACCACCAGTTGTCCTTGGTTCTTTTGGCTCATATTAAAACCATCAGAATAATTTACAGCTTGTCAGGCTTTTTCAGAGTCCTTGAATTGAACATGGAATTGGGTGTGCTTTATAATGGCTGCTTGAGTTAGCTGTGACTCCTTTGTGTTCATTTGTTCAAATAATGGCTGCTGGACAGGACCTTGAGTGGGTCTAGTTGTGGGGCAGGCCAGTTGCAAGCCATAGGCCTCCTTTAGTTCTGTGTTCCTATAAAAGTACAGGCCCTGTTTGCACAGCCAGAGACCCTGAGGGGCAAGGAAGCCCCCGCATATCATCTTCATCTTTGCCAGACCAAGAAGGCTAGTGGCTGCAAAGACAGACACAGCTTTTCCCCCACAGATGCTAGATTTTGATGCTGGTAGAGGAAGATGCCTCAGCCTTGGATGGCAGGCACTTTGGTCATGGGACCCCTGGGCCTTACTTGGAAACAGTGGCCAACTCCAGAGGATGGCATTTCAGGCAGGCTCATGTCTGTAGAGGTACTGAAGGCACTATTTGTTTATATCCTGGCCTGGTACCAGTCCTCACCATGCCCTAACCCTGATACTTTTCTGTTATTCCTTCCTCGATGGAGTGGCCTGATGCCTGGTGCTGGGTATCCCCAACTTCAGGCCCAGGTTAAAGCACTCTTCCCTCTCCTTCCTTCATCTTCACCCATGACCTGTTACTTGCCTGCCTTTCATACAGCAGCTTGCAGAGTGGAGGAGTGGGACAGCAGACTGGTCAGAAAGGCTCTGAGCAGCCCTCTGAGCTGTGAGTAAGCTATGGTGTGAGCTTCCAAAAGGGATCTTAGGGAAGAAGCCTGAGCCCAGGCAGCTCTACTGGTGTCCAGGGTCCTTTTCCTCCTATACTTTGTATTCTGGCACACTGAAACACCTTTTTTTTCACCGACTTCCATCTGGCGGGGGCTATACTTTTTCTTTTTGCTAACTTCTAACAAAGGATCACCTTTACAACTGGAACGAACATGAACTCACAGAAAATATTTTAGTTCTGTCTGGCTCAGAACACTGAAGGTTAAATTCTGAGAAGTGCTGCCAGGGTGTGTGTGGTAGTGTGGTAGGGAGAATGGTCTGCAAAGCTGTTCATGCACACCTGCTGCCAACTTTGCCTCACTTTGCTTAGATTCTGGCTTTGTGTGGAAGACATGTATGGAGTCACTTTCTGCTCTGATTCATGATGCTGATGTGTTTTCAGCCCAAACTGCCACAGGATGGAATTTTCCATCCTAATATGGAATCTCCCATCCTGATAAAATAAATGCGGCACCATGTTTAAACAGAGCTTTTTGCCCTTTGGAAATCACAGGGGCTCTTCTGGTTCTGGTTTCTTTACTTCTCACCTCATTCTTTCCTCAGCAGGACAACAGGACTATGATCTCCTGGTGATTGGTGGGGGATCTGGTGGCTTGGCTTGTGCCAAAGAAGGTATGTATGTCCCTGGAGAGGTGGCATTGTGGACGTGGGCCTCAGTATCCACAAGTAGAGTACAGCTTACCTGCTTGGTCACCCAAGCAACCTCCTAGTTATGCCCTGCTTCCCACCAAGGCATAGTGTGGTGTCTGCCATTCATGGCAGTCACAGCAGTACTTGAAGTCTGAGCACAGTCTTTACTCAAAGTGGAGGTCCTTGGGCCTCACAGGATCTGACCTCATCCATCCAATTTCAGCAGCTACCCACCCCCACTGCCCTGCCTCCTTACTGTTCTGCACATCCTTCCAGAAGTGCTTATGTCCTTCTTGCCCTGGCAGCTTGATTTGTTGGTCTGTTGTTTGCCCACCAGGTTAGCTGGGAGTCTCACTCATCTCTCTTCAGTCTTTGCTGAGATGGCTATACTTAGAACTGCACACTCCCACTGTATAATCCCTGTCACTAGCTCCTCTGTCCTTGTTCTTAGTGCTTTGCCTTCCCAAAGAGACCACAGTTGCCTCTGCAAATCATGTCTGGACCTAGGTCTGGTACTCAGTAGGTGCTCAGTAAAGACATGGTGGATGATACATCCAGAGACCTTACCTTTCAGTTCACTGATAATCTAGTAGTGCAGTTCACTGGGACTCATTGAACTTCTATAGGAACCTTGCAGTCTAATTGGTGATCCCTTCCTGCCTCCTCTCTTCTTGCTTTTCTTTCTTTCTTTCTTTCTTTTCTTTTTTTTTTTTTTGGTACCAGAGATTAAATTCAGGGACACTGGACTGATGAGCCACATTCCCAGCCCTATTTTGTATTTTATTTAGAGACAGGGTCTCACTGAGTTGCTTAGTGCCTTGCTTTTGCTGAGGCTGGCTTTGAATTCACTATCCTCCTGCCTCAGCCT